ATGGGGTCTCACCAGAGCAGAAGGGGACAATCACCCCCTTCTCCCTGCTGGCCACCCCTTTTTTAGTGCAGCCCAGGACACAGTTGGCCTTCCGGGCTGCAAGCGCACACTGCTGGCTCATGTCCAGCTTCTTGTCCACCAGGACCCCCAAGTCCTTCTCCGCAGGGCTGCTCTCAAGTTCTTCTCCCAGTCTATACAAGTACCTGGGATTGCCCCGGCCCAAGTGCAGCACCTTGCACTTGTTGAACCTCATCAGGTTCTCATGGGCCCACTTCTGCAATTTAGGGATTAAACAGCTCAGATGTGGTGATCTGAGCTGTTTAATCCCTAAATTGCAGTACTAGGAAGGAAGGGACCAGATTCCTTGTACAGCTGGAGACTTTTGCTGACAATTAGGCTGATTTTTCAAAGCCTGGTTGGTGTGTGGTGTTCCTGGGGTGAGCAAGAATTGGGTCAGGATCATGTCCTGTGACCGTCTGGAGGTTTTGATGCTGGTGTAATGCACAACTCCAGGGGACCATGGCTTTGTGGTGCAGGACACCGCATGAACTCCCTTAGTGAGATGCTAGTTGGTTCCTTGAGTACTCTGTAGGTGATTGATTTCCTCTGTAGGAGGAAAAATTAGCTGGCAAAGTTACTAGAGTTACTTTCTGGCTTGTAGGAGCCGTTGAATGAGGCTGTTAGATACTGGAAGCAAAAAGCGGTTTGTTTATATGTGAAACCAGATCAGTTGTGGTCAGGACCAGAGCTGGGCTGTTCTGTCCTTCCCCTAAAAAACACCTTTTCCATCTTGTGTCCATTGCAAATATTTGTTTTAAAGTTGTTTGTTTTTTTCTTTTTTCTGGAGGCTCTCCCTCAAGTTCCAAAGTATTTGTGAGTCTGCAAAATAAATAATAAAAAAAATAAAAATAAGTCTCTTGCTTTAATATTTGTGGTTTCAAGTGACTCCAAATAGCTCAGGAGTTTAAAGGTGCCTATTGTTCCTTATGAGGAATATGTGTCTGTTGGGAACAAGGGGTGTTTCTGTTGTGCTGTCAGCACCTTTGAAAGATTCCCAGATCCTGTGGGCTTTGAGAAGTTGCTGGTAGTCAGAGGCAGGAGGCTGAGGCATGACGTGGGACACAGGACTGCTCATCTGTCCCCAAATGTTGCAGCTGATACCTTCTTTGCTGCATTCTCCAGTCCGGTAATATTGCTGCTTGCAGAGACCTTGGGAAGTGCAGCATCATCACAACCCAAGGGTTTATTTAAACACATCCAGCTTAATCAGTAAAACATTCCTGCAAATTAATTCAGTTCTGGCTGGCACAAATCCCAGTGCAGAAACAGTTAAAAGTGGCTTTATCCTGGCTGAAATGGGTGGTGTTGGTGAACCACTGGTGTAAATACAAGTGATGTAAACCCAAGGGATATTAAATGCACCCGCATGGTGCCATGACTTAGTTGTAGGTATGTTTAACGAGTGATCTATTTCTGCTGTCGGGCAAGGCAAAATTTGGTGCTATCCCACTCAAGGGGCTGGAAATCAGTAGTGTTTTGGGCTACGTTGCTAGGACTTCAAGCAATTCACTTAACTCTTTGTTTCTCCAATATAAAATTAAGTGAAAACCTCCCTCAGGACTTGATTAGCTCAAATAATTATTTTTTTTTTTTTAATAGAATCTGCTTTTCCCTAGAGCTCTGCTGTTCTAATGGGGCAATGGCTGTAGACTAGTCTCTCCTCTGAAGAGGAGGACGAAGGTGTCTCAACTTTGCTTTTATGGTGTGAAGAGGGTCAGGACCAACATTTTCACCAGCTCTTCCTTTCTCTTTTCATCTCAGCTTCTCAGATGCTGATGGTCACTGCATACCTCGCAGTTGTAGTTGCACTTTACCTTGTTCCCCTCACCATCTCGTCCCCTTGCATAATGGAGAAGAAGGCTCTGGGGCCAAAGCCAGCCATTATCGGGCACCGTGGAGCACCGATGGTGAGTAGTCTCGTGTTGTTGGTACTGTGTCGTCTGACTCTTCCGCCTGTGTGAAGGATGGTACCAGATCTGATGGTCTCCAGGCTGCTCTCCAGAAAATCTATGGTGGTAAATCAGTACATGAACCTAGAGTCAAAACGTAAACAAAAGGGCAATCCTTGCATTGCTCAGGGTGGTTTGTGCTGTTGCATTTTTCTGGCTGCTAGTTCTGCTGGTTTTTGCTCTTCAGGCTTGGCCCTTGAGCTGCAGCAGAAATCAGATTTTTTATTTTTTTTTAAATTTTTTTTAAGAGCTTGAGGCTCAGTCTTCATGCTCTTTGCAGGACCTCACCAGCAGTGGTTAAACTCAGCTTGACAGTAAGATGCCTCGAGTATGTGGCAGTGTGGAAAAACAAACAAACAAGCTGTGCTGACCCTACATGACTTCATGGTCTGTGCTCTTGTATTTTAGATCATCAGGAGGCTGGGCGAGCTGATGAAACACTCCTATCACCTGCCTCTGGGTAGGTGATAGGAGTGTTTGAAAGCATAATGATATAGTCCTTTCTTCTCCAAGGTTTCTGGATGCATCCAGGCTAAAGATGGAGCATGTAGGCTTGGGCACAGCCCTGGGATTGGATAACATTGTCCAGCGATGTTTGGCCATACTGGTCTGAGTCTCTAGTTTGGGTGCTTCTGCACCTGGGTCTGTTGTATAGTTGTACCTCCATCTCGCTCTGATGGATTGACTTCAGATGTGGGCACTGTCCTTGTGAATGGTTTTGGTTTTTTTTTAAGGCATCCAACTAACTTTTTTGCAGATGTTCAAAGCAGAAATAAATATTAGTATAGGCTGTCATAGCCTGTTTGGCAGGCTAGAGCGTGCTTGAGCTCCTCTCCAAGTTCAAGAGTGTGCACTAGGTGTTTGCTAGGTGAGATGAACACCTGTCATGACACAGAAATATTTTATTTTAGAAGTATTTTTATTTAATTTCTTTGTTTTTTCTTTCTTCAAGCAATCCTTTGAAATGACAGCTTAATTTGCATCAGTCTTTTAACTATGTTGTCTCTGGGGGTGGTGGAATGGAGTTCCAGGCATGATAAATGCTTTTTCCCATCCTGTTGAGTTTGTACCAACCATGAAGGCCAGAAGAAGCCAGGTGAGGACCCGTGTTCTGTATGCTTTCTGCAAGGCAGGAAATCACAAAACCTATTTGGAGATTTTTCTTCCTGTGGGGTTTCCAGGCCTGTGTGCCCCTCATAGCCTTCTAAAGAAATAAAATAGTCAAAATCCTTCAGTCCTCCAGATTGAACTAGTTTACATAAACCTTATCTGGAGCAAGACTCCCAGCAGAGACTTGATCCTTTGCTTCATGTTCTTCCTTGGAGCCAACAAATAGTCCTTGCAGTATGGAATAAACCTATCTGGGAAATGTGCAGAGGGTTGCAAAGGTTGATCAAGAGCGATGGTGGAGGACGTTCAGTGCTCTCTTCTCCGATACACAGAGCTGATTGTCTCTTAACAAGCAGATGGCTTTCTCTGAAGCCCGCAAGAAGCAAGATCAGAGGCTAGCAAGCCTTGTTCCAACCTCCAAGAAATAGTCTGCATGTCCCATGATGTGCTGGCAGTAGGTTTACCCAACTGCTTTGTCTTTGTATGTGAGTGTCCTCCAACTGTGCCCTTGAATGGCAAAGCAGAGACAGGATAAGGAAGATGAGGACCAGGGAGAGGTGGTCAAAACTTCCTTCTGTACTTCCATCCATGCCCAGCTTTTCACTCTACCAAATGTCATCTTGAGATTGAAGAGCTCCACCTGCAGTGCAAGTCCTCAGGTTGTACTAAGTCATATCTGCTTGGAAACCAATGATCTCAAAGCCTTGCCAAAAGGCGTTTCTGCTCATAGGATCTTGTTTTCATAGGACTCCTTAACTACACTTTTGCTGTTGAGCCCAATTGTATGTAGATTTATTTTGGAGAAATGGCCAAATGGAGCTAGAGAGGAGGAAATAGCCCGGAGAAGAGTCTGGAGACTGGGCTTTAGGACACAGACGTCCTCCCTTGGGCAATGTTGAGATCAAAAGTCTGCAGAGCCTGAGAGTTTGGGACCTGAGGTGACACTGGATCTAGTAGGAGTGGAGATGATAAAAATCAATGTGTTATTTGCCTTCAAATCTCCTGAAGCAAGACAAATGTGACTTGCTGTGCAAACTTGCTCTCTGATAGAGCCTGATAGCTGGTTGCTTTGCCTGTCTGGTGGGACTGGGTCTGTAATATTGCATTTGCAGGACCAACGCTCTTATACTAGAAAGACACAAACGGAACCAAGTGCTCCTCTGACAAGAGCCAGCAAAGGAAGTCCATGGGATGGCTGAAAATGCCTGTTGTCCTAAAACGAAGGACTTGCTGGGTACGTGGCATGTGATATATGAGGTGAAATGTGGTGACATGGAGAGTTTCCCGGGAAAGCTGTAGATGTGTGCAGTTCCTGAAGGATATAGTACTTGGCACACTTTCCGTGGAGGAAAAAAAGTGAGGAACAGAGGCCATATGGTTCGTATAATTTGTCTTGAAACACTGAACGAGGGAACAAGTCCTTGCATTTTAAGTAGCAAGAGAAAATCAGAAACCACCCCAGTGTCTGTACCTGGATGAAGTGTGGCTTTTTGCAGTACAGAGCTACTGGTTGCACATTGGCTGACCATTTGTTTGTAGTGGTGGTGCTCCTCCAAGGAATGTCCCTTTGCTAGCATCCTGTTCCCACCTGAGCTTTAGTTTACTGCTAGAAAGGTTCTTCTGCATGACTCCTTCTACCTTCCCTTGCCTAAATGTCATCCATCATGCCCACTTTTCGCTATGCTAAATGTCCGTTCCCATCGGGGTGCTATCTGAAACCCCTTCCTCTTAGCAGGTGTTTAGTTAGTCAATCAGTTGCTTTTCAAAGGCTCTTTTAAAATGAATTATTCAGCCTCCAGATCTATTTCTATCCTGGCCTCCCATCAGGAGAGCATCAGGGCCGTGGCAGCAATGTGCTGGGAATTGAACGCTCCAGCCCTCACTTGGTGTCTGTTGATTGGAAAGGGTCTTGTCCTGATGGGTGCAGGAACCATGTGACACCTCAAAACATGAGATGGGGTTCTCTGTAAATTTTACATGCTAATTTGTTAAACTTTTGAGATGTTTTTATGAGCAGGTGCCTGTTGTCTTTGGTTTCCCATCTTTTTTATTCTTCCTACAGAAATCTAGTTGTGTTTTGTCTTCAATGGCAATAGACTTGGCTGTCTTCTCTCTGTGATGGGAAATATGCCCCTTATGCTGAGGATAGGCCAAAACAAGGGTAGAAGGTAAAAGCTGGGATCAAATCTAAGATGAAAATGAGGAACTTCATCCAGTAGGACACCAGCTTCTACTGCCGTTTCCACCTTTAAAGTCTTCTCCCAAATGTCTTCGCTCATAGGATGCTTCAGGTTGAGGCAGGTTGGCTTTGCTTTTGGGATCTGAAGAAGTGCTGTCTGTAATGTTGAATCCTACTTGCTTTTAGGTTGTTAGTCCTAAAAATACATTCCTTATAATTAGGCTCATTGTGATGATCTTTGATCTCAAATTGTAGGTCAATTACCCAAGGGATTGATAATAGCAAGGACTTATCTGAGCAAGAGCTGTATCTGTCTCCTTGGAAACCTTCATGAAGCCTGAAATCTTGCTTCCCATTACTGGGACCAGAGAGGTACTGGTTGGTCTAAAAACCATCAGGCTAAACCTGTGGAAACCCTCCAAGCATGTCGGAGGCCAGAACAGCTCTTGATTTCAGACCCGGAGGTTAGAAATAGCATTGAAATAAATGCTTTTGGCAAACCAAAAAGCCAAAACAGCTGTCTGTGTGCCACCAAGCATGCGATGCTCATGCCATCGAGCTCCTTCCTGCATGGCAGGCAATGTCCATCTCTTTGCTGAGTGCAGGTACTCAGAGTACTCATTGCGGGGGCAAAGTACCTTGGTGGGCAGCCAGCGTTTAATTGTGGATTTGCCTGTTGGGTTACTGCATGGGAAAGTTTTGCCTCAGTGGGGGGAATATCATGCTGTTCCCAGGAAACTTCCAGCAAAAATGGAAGGAGAAGGTTTTTGGTTTTGGGGGTTTTTTTTGATACCTGAAGGTGAAGCCTTCAATATATATTGGTGTCCTCAAAGAGATGCTGTTCTGTCATCTTGTGGTGCCAACTATTGATAGAAACAGTAATGAAGGCTTCTAGGTGGGATTGTGGCTTATTGGAGAGCTTTCAGCTAAGGAAGAACTCATTGTGATTTCTTTCTGTTGCTTTGGGGTTTTTTTTCTTGGTAGTTTTGAGGGCCTTTATCTTATCTTGAGTAACAAAACTTTGCCACCACCTACTTGAGACGGTTTTGTTTTTTAAGGGCTCTGAAATGCTTTGGTTTATGCTGCTGAAATCAAGAAGCATTTGGTTTGCTGTGCGTCTTATGCGCACCCACTTATAAAAAATATAGTCAGTTAACCTGTCTGCTGGTCCGATCGATAGTAACAAACAACCATGATTAGCATCTTCTGTCAGACTTGGAGAAAGGCTTGTGTTCATTGAAATAAATCTATGTAAAGTTAGTTTTTCATTAAACCCAGCTTCAGCTTTTTTTAGTGTGCAGTACAACAATAATGAGGGCTTATCTCCTGTATCTAGTTATTCAATTTCTTTTTTTTTTTTTTGCTTATAAGTTTATCCTGTTGTCCAAAGCAACCCTTTATTTTTTTTCTTTTTGTTTTGCGCTTTTTCCCTTCCTTTTGGTCTAGTTGAGCTCTTTCCAGAAGTGCTGGATTTGGATGCTCCCTAAAATACCTAGAATTCCTAGGGATTAAAGATACATTTTATTTTTTTAAACTATTGCCTCATAGTGACCTGGCATGATGGGAAACTATTGCTGAAATCAACATGTTGGCAGATCCCACACTAAGTCCCATACAGGGAACTTCCAAAGGGCATCTTTTTACAGGAAGGAAAATACAATTTTTTTCAGGTATTGCCCTAATCATGCCTTGTGTTTTCAGTCCAATTATTGGGTCACGGGGAAATTGATACTGGAAAGGAGAGATAAGGGAGGAAAAAAATTTTAAAAAAATTAAATGATGCTCATGTATCCAAAAAGATGAGAAAATGTCAATGAAGCAAAGATCAAATCCTTTAGTGAAGCTCAGCGCACAATGCCAGAGGTGTGCAGTGGCTGAAGTTATGCTTTGGAACAAATTTGTTTTTTCTTTGCAAGCTTCTTTGTTAGCAATTTTTTTTTTTTGAAGGCCTGGCAAGGCTAATTAGGGGAGAAATACAATGTAGTGATGTCCAACTTTAGCAAGGCTACACTGCTCTAACTAGCACGCTTTCATAATCTTCATTAAGGAAGGTCTAAACCTCTTGACTGCATTTGAAAGCATTTGCAATTGACTTAACACAAAAGTAGTCAAAATGAGGCCATCCATGGGTAATTTTCTAGAAATTACTTCCTGTGTCTCTGTAGCAAAAAGAAATGAATAGTAGCTTGATTTTTGCGAGGGATGAGCCTGTCAAACCCAGTGCAAAGAGAAGGAACAGCTTCTAGAAACCCTGTACAGCATCTGTCTTGTGGCTTTCAGTGGGTGTTGGCATGGTTTATATAGGACAGAGATTTTGGACTGAAATCATTGCTTTATGTCCCAGGGCTTCCTTCACTTCAGCTCTGTTTTGGTGTGTGTGTTTTGTGTGTTTTTTTGTGGTTTGTTTGTTTGTTTGGTGTTTTTTGTTTTGTTTTTTGTTTTTTAAGAAACTGGTTGTGTCCAGTTGCATTGGATCCCTGCAAACCTAGGTTTGGGGTTTGGACTTAACATGCCTGAATGTGTTGTATCGAAGAGGAAAACCCATCAAAGAAACTGGAGGGAGAGAAATGCAAGCAGAAATATTATACATTTATTTAGTTATTGCAGTTTTGCTGTAAAAATTAAAAAGAAAAAAAACAACGCTAGTCTCAGCAAGTAATTTCTGTACCAGAAACTGTCCTACTTGGGTGCATTTCTGCCCTAAAAACACTGAATTTGGGGCTTTAGCTCCCTCTTTTCTTGTAGGGAGACAGAGACCGGCTGGGATGATGGAAGTATCTGTTACTCTGATTCTCTCTTTTCACAAAACCTCTCGTTGCAAGGGATAGGAGCTCTTGGTAGAGGGAGGTTGCATGTCCAAAGTGGTGCCAGGAGAACTTCCAGAAATAGGGGACAGGGTTAAATTTGCTTTCCTGGCTTTCTAGTTGACCTTTAGTGGGTTGTGTCATTGTGAGTGGCTTGTTCAGTCCCCTCAAGGCTATGGTCGACCAAGAGCTTGAGAAACCAAGGAGGATGGCTTTCTGCACCAATGGTGGGCTCATTTAGAGACGCAATTATTTATATTGGGGTGATTGGCTCAGGTTAGGAGCTTACCCACCACCTGCTCACAAGAAGATGAAGTCCTTGCCTGGAAGGCTCATAATCCACTTTTCAAAAGCTTCTGACATACAAGGAATGGGGCTGTTGAGTAATAGCATTGTGGTGTTAGAGACTACCCGGGGCACGGTGTTACAGAGAGCACTTCTGCTGATGTCCGTGCTGGTTGCTGATTCAGAGGTTCATCCATCTGTGATGCTCTTCAAGAGGATGCTCTTCACTTCTAGGGGTGTTGTGATGAAGATGACGTTACAGCTCCTATGGGCATATTTGGATGGTGACCTTAAGTGGCAGCCTGTCCTTAGAACAGTTTTTTAAAATGTTGCTTCCTCTGCACAGCTGTGGTTTTCCATACAGATCTGGCCAGATTTTGTTATGTTTATTTAACTTGTGTTTGGGATAAAGTTCCTGGGAAAGGACTGGATGTGCCTTGTATCTGAGCAGCCCTCCTGGGGTCCAGTCTTAACTTAAAGGGTGAAACATGGTCTGCAGGCTCTGTAGGGGCTAGAGGTGAGGCAGGAGTTGGGATATTCCACTCCTGGGTCTGAGATTGTCTCTCCATGGGGTTAAGCTCAGTGTCAATTGAGTGCTGAGGATGGGATAGTCACGGTGCGCTGAGTTTTAAAACTCAAAGAAAATTTCAGGTTTCAGTTTGCTGTATCCTGTATTCTAGCCATACACCTAAGATGTGTGACTATCACTACTATCTTCGCTTGGCCAAATTTGTCCAGTCTGGCAAACAGAAATCCCACCCCCAAAAGGCTTCTTTCCTCTTTGGCTTTCTTCTATCACCTCTGCATGCAGGCTCAGCTCTAAATTTGCTTTTCCCCAGTCCAGCTGATGGAGGCTCTTGTGTATTGACTTGCGACCTCAAATCTGTTTGGCTCTGTGTTTTCTTCGAATGCCTCCAAGAGTGGAGGCTGGGACTCCTGCTCCTTAACCTGAAGTTAAGGTTTCCTCTGCATGTCAAACCAACTGCATCTTGGGAGGCCTGGTGTCCAAGCAAGGCTTGACCCTGGCCCTGCAGAAGCTGAAATACACTGAAAAAAGCAAGGACAATTATTTTTTTTAACCTTGTTATCAAACAACAGAGCTTGTGTCTCCTCTGGGTTAAGATTCTGCTGTGCCACAGTTTTGCGTACAGGTAAGACACGAGAAGACCTTGGTCACACTGGTCCACCTCTACAGAGGTGGAATACTGCTGTAGCCACGCTTGTTTGCCTTCATTAGCCCTGATTCATGCAATATGAGCTCTTCGTTGCCTGGGCAGGTAACAGCAGTGTCGTCCTACTCATGTCGTCCTACCTTTGTCGCCCGGTTTTACATTGATTGCTTAGTGGAGGGAGTACAACCTTAGCCTGAGAGATGATTTACAGCTCAACACACTTTGTTTTTCTATTCCTTGTATGTCCACATCCCTGGCAAGACCACTTTTAGGGGTGTGGGTTGAGTTTGCTGCTTGATGTGGTGTCATATCTTGAGTTGGGACTTTAATTGCATCCCCCCAGCAACCCTTCCTGAATTAGGCTGGTGGTCTTGCCTTGCCCTTGGGTTTCTCTAGCTCAGCTCTCTCCACTTCGAAGGCTACCCACTTTATTTCTTTGTGATTGCTGCAGTCTCTGAAAGCAAATATTGAGCTTTCCTCTGCACAGAGAGGATCACCTTGCAGTGTTATCCCCGGGAAACCTGAGCTACTCAGAGGGTGGAACCTGAGATGCTGAAAGCAACCCAAGGAGATGGAGCAGCTGATGGGATCTTTATGTGGCTGCTGCTCTCTGCTGACAGCTCGGAGCATCGTGCATATCTTCAGAAAGCTCTTTCAGCCCGACCTTGCGTGACCCAACGCTGGGCTGCGCAAGAGGGTGTGATGGGAGTGTTGCTTCTGTCTTCTCCTAGAAAAGACAGGCTTTGATTGGGAGCTTTTTTTAAAGAAGATAGCATGCCTTTGTGTTGTCTTTGTTGAACAAACAGAAAGATGAACTAGTATTGATGCGTGGCTTGAGATGGAGGAATTCAGTAGAGAGATACCGGAGCTATGTGAAGGTTGTGTTGCTGACGTTTGGTCCAATTGTTTTACCCCAAAGCCTTGCTGACCTGAACATGTGAGGTGATCAGCTAATACAAACCCAAATGATTCTCAGAGACACCTTAAACTCTTGAGCATTTTTTTGTATTTATTGTGCGTGTTGTTTGTATGGTACATTTAGGTCCTTGCTCTTAATTATTCCTCTTTCCAACCCCTGAATAATTCTTGAAAATCACAGGTTGTGAATGCTCGTTGTGCCTTGATAGAAACTTACTGATCTGGATGGTGGCAGAGATGACTGGAAAAACAGGATTTTACAGGTGCTCTAAACCTGAAAGCAAAATTGGAAAAAAGAAAATTATTTTTAAAAATAGCTTTATTTTGATGTACTCATGTTTCAGTGCACAAAACCTGCCAGTTTTTCTCTCCATAGTAGTCTGTTGTTTTTCTTCTGGTCTGCCTCTTGTTGGTTTATGGACATTTTGGGACTTGCTATACTGTACTGGTTGTGTAGTAAAAACAAATTATTTTTTTGCACGCTGTACTGTTTTTAAACCAACCTGAATTCTGTTACCATCTGCTCCATTCAACAAGAAGGAATTTGAAATAAACTTTGAGTCCTTATCTGTGATAGGCATGGGGATAAATTTTCTAGGCTTAAGGGTATTTTTTTAATTGTTGTTAACACTAAAGACAGCATTTATTATTAGAGAAAATCAACTGATTTTTAGATTGAGTAATAAATGATGTTATTCAATGAGTAGATGCAGAAATAAAATGTGTGCTACAGAACCTGTGGTCTAGTTGTTCTCCATGGTATAGATAATAAATAACCTGGTTTATGGACTTTTGTCTTTCTATGACAGCATTGTAATCACTGTTTGCATAGAAAAGCAGGAGAATGAAGAACCACTAGGGTGGTTTAGGTAGCTCTAGATATAACCTGTGGATAGAGAATTGGTATCATGTGAACAATCACTTTCTGGGGATCTTCAGCAAGTTTAGGGGACCATGCTGGTAAGCAAATCTCTCATACACTAATTTTGCATCAGACCTCGAGCTAGAGAGGTTTCTGGTGTTGAAGGTCATGATAACTCTGTATTGAACTCTAGCCTGTATGTGGAAGACCATCAGTTGCATGAAATGCTTTGGTCATCTTCAGATCTCAGTAAGATGCAGTTCTGCCTTGTGGTCACCAGTACACCAGCGTTACTGGCCGTTGTGTAATCTGCAAAACAAGATTGTTTTGTCTCCCTAATATCTCTAACCCTTCCTCCCAGCATCCTCCCTGACGCTGCTTCGTAAATGTTTCCACTTACTACTAATCTCTCATTGCTCTTTTTTTCGCTGTAGTTGGCACCAGAAAACACTCTGATGTCCTTCCAGAAGGCAGTGGAACAGAAAATTTATGGAGTCCAAGCTGACGTTGTACTGAGGTAAGCCAGTGTGCTGGTTGGGCTGAGACTTTCTCTGTGGACGGCCCAAACCATGCTGGTGGGTCTTGCCTATCTGGTGTGCGTCTGGTTGTTACCACTTTCTCTCATTGAAAAGGGCTCTCGTGGTGAACGTACCCAATAATAGTAGAATCACAAAATGGTGTGGGTGGGAAGGAACCGTAAAAATCGTCTCGTTCCACCCCCCTGCCATGGGCAGGGACACCTCCCACTAGCCCAGGTTGCCCAAAGCCTCATCCAGCCTGGCCTTGAACCCCTCCAGGGATGGGGCATCCACAGCTTCTCTGGGCAACCTGGGCCACTGCCTCACCCCCCGCACAGGAAAATATTTCTTCCTCACATTTCATCTCCATCTCCTCTCTTGTAGCTTCAACCCCTTCCCCCTCGTCCTGTCCCTGCACCCCCTGATCCAGAGCCCCCCCAGCTCTCCTGCAGCCCCCTTTCAGCACTGGAAGGTGCTGGAAGGCCTCCCCGGAGCCTTCTCTTCTCCCGGCCGCACACCACCAACTCTCTCAGCCTGTCCTCGCATGGGTTAGATGCTACTAATTGTTTTCCTGAGATGATGATTAAAGATGAAGTTGTCCAGGTGGAGGAACCTGGATATGTTTGTCACAAAACTAATCTTCATTTGCAGTGGGACTGTAGTTTGTCCTAGAGCTTTCTTTATTGCAGTGGAGCACAGCACATGGTTTCTAGCCAGGCTTGAAGTCAGCTGGCTTCAAAAAGAGACAGAACTGCTTAAATGTAGTAGATGTGGTGCTTAGGGACATGGGTTAGTGGGTTGGATGGTGTTGGGTTGACGGTTCAACTTGATGATCCTTGGTCTTTTCCAGCCTTCATGATTCTATGAAATGTGGCTTTTGCTGGGGTGCCCCAGGTGCAGAGGGAGCAGAGATCCCCAGTTGACTTCATTGCACTGTAAATCTTCAGAAGGGTGTTTACCAGCTTTGCAAAACTGTCACAGGAATTTAGCAGCTGAGGAATAAGCTCTTTCTCCTCCTCCCCTCCTTCACATGTCACTAGTGCTGGGGGAAGGAGGAACCTGGTGATACTGTTGACTGTCAAAAAGTCATTCCTCGCAGGCAAATGTTGAGCTGAATTGACAAGGCTAATTTAGAGAGGATTTAGAGAGGGTTATTTCAAGAACTGTGCTTTGCTCCAGGACTTTGATAACTCTTTAATATTCTTGTTCATTTTCTGAACAAGGTTTTTGCATGTGTTATGTAGATGTGCAAGAGGGCACAAGTGGAATGAAGGGAACAGTCATGTCTTGGTGATCCTCAGTTTGTCTCAATTACAGTCATAAATACAAGAAAGATTCAAAGCTGATATTTTCTTTTTCCCTGTCTGCTTTAGAGCAGTGTTGATAGAAAGATATTTTTGCCTGGTGGGAGAAGTTCAATTGTGAGGGTGCTTTTTTGTTATTTGTATAATTGATAGGATGAGGATTAATGGTTTTAAGTTGGACAAGGGGAGATGGAGATGAGATGTGAGGAAGAAATGTTTTCCTGTGCGGGGGGTGAGGCAGTGGCCCAGGGTGCCCAGAGCAGCTGTGGATGCCCCATCCCTGGAGGGGTTCAAGGCCAGGCTGGATGAGGCTTTGGGCAACCTGGGCTAGTGGGAGGTGTCCCTGCCCATGGCAGGGGGTTGGGACTGGATGATCTCTAAGGTCCCTTCCAACCCTAACCATTCTGTGATTGTTTGAGAGCAAATGATATAAAAACTCAAGGTATTTTATTCCACCTAGGGAGCAGAAGGTCATTGTGGAAGGATGACAGATGAGCTGGGGTGTTTGCAACACAATTCGCCTTTCAAAAATCTGTTCATTAGCTGTTTTGAAGGGACAACTGCTTGACTGTCCACACTGACAAATGAGCACTCTGCTCATGCTGTGGCTGAATTGGTTGCTTCCATTAGCACTGGCCAAGGGAAAAGGTGGATTTTTGGGAGGAGGAGAGCTGGAGAAGCTCCAAGAGCTTTCCGTGTTGCAACTCATCAGCCATTCTAGAGGAGCACTCCAATTAACCATAGCTTAAACAATGCCCTTGATGGCCCAATTATCCGAGACCCAAGTGTCTTGATAAAAAGAGGACTCCATTGACCTTCAGACCAAAAAGGGAGCTATCAATACAGCTGGCAGCAACTTTGGGAAGGGGAAACCCATTGCTGCCCTAATGCCTTTGAAAGATGCTCTTTGTGCCTGTGGTTTGATGGGTCCACTCCACCTGGGATGTATCCATGTCCCTCTAGGCACGTATCAGCCATGGGTGGGCTGCTTGGACACATGCTCAGACCTATCCCATCCTGTTCCCTACCCATTACACACCCCAAACTGGGTGGCCCTGGTTATAAAGCCAGCTTTGCCTCAAGCAGCAGGAGCGTAATAATCTCTGTGTGTTCCCCTCTGGTTTTCTACCTCCACCCACATCTTTTCTTCTAAAGCTCTGCTTTCTGTCTCTGAATTATTCTTTCAAACCTGTGGCTGCTAATACGTTGTGGTTAGCCTTGGGTAGTGCTGAGTGACTCTGTAAGGGGAAGGATTAGACAGGAGAAAGTAAATTTGAATTTTAAGTGCCCCATAGGATTTCCACGCTGTGGTTAAGGCTTAGCAGTAACTGGTGATGCTGTGCTATGAGATGTTAAGACTTGAGCTTCTATCTCCCTTAAACACTCTGCACTCTTAATTCTGCAGTTGCTTAGCATTGTTTCTTTTTTTTTTTTAACTGTATTTATTAAAAACCTTTCTGATTGCAGCTGTGCTGCTGAGCATGGCATTGCTGTGCCAGCCCGTTGGGTTGGGGAGGGAAGTAGTTGGCACAGTACATGCTAGAAATAGCAAATAAAGATGCCAGTGACCTTTGTGATAAGGGACTTCTGCAGGCAATGATAAAGCTGAGGCAGCATTTGCTCCATAATCTAAAATTATTTTTTGTTTTTGCTCTAGCTCTGGGGGTGAGTGCTCTTGGGTCATCTCCTAATTCAAATGGGGCTTGTATTTTAACCCCATCTGCTTTCCAGACTTTATCTGAGTCTTCTATTATTTAGATCAGCTCCTTAATTTGGAAAATGTCATTAGAATCAGGCTGGCCCTGCTGGGTTTATGTTGATTTCTGAGTGTGGACAACTGTTCCCCTGCCCTTGATGGAAACCCTCACTGCCCTGTGTGGTGTTGCCACTGATCCAGTCAAAGAAAAATGGGCTGGAAGAAAGTTTAAAGAGCTCTTTAGGTTTCCCAGAAGCACTGTTCTGCAATATCTATATGGCTTAAAGACCACAGGGTGTGCATTTAGCTATTTAATTTCACCTGAGAGGCATGTTTTCTTTAAGTTGTAGGAGCTTAACCACTCATGTGAGCATGGCTGTTCCATGAAACCAATTTTCAATTGGAAAAGTCAATTTCAGAACAATTTTGGTAGCTTGGAGCCCTTGCATTTTGCTGAAAGCCCATGAATGTTAATTTCCCATATAGTCTGAGAGCCTTTGAAAATCTTACTCATTATTTACTATTAACAATTTGAGAGTAGTTTGCATGTGTATCTGTGTGTACAGGGAAAACCTCTGGCATTATTGGGAGCTACAGACATTGCAGAAATCTCTGGTTGGTGTGAGCATTCAGGGTGGGTGTTCTTGTCCAAGCTTCCCAAGTTAGGCACTCTAGACATTTTTGAGGGGGTGGCAGGGAGGAAGAAGGGAGGGATGGATAGGGTTAGGTCAGCATTTGAATGACTGCAAACACCTAGCAGGCATCTAAGAGACTTTTTTTTTTTTCCTCTGGGTGCATCTCATTTCAACTGGTCTTGGGGATGCTGGAGATGTTCAAATGACCCTGGAGAGGTTCAAGGCCAGGCTGGATGAGGCTTTGAGCAACCTGGGCTAGTGGGAGGTGTCCCTGCCCATGGCAGGGGGTTGGAACCAGATGAGTTTTAAGGTCCCTTCCAACCCAAACTGTTCTATGATTCTGTGCTGGGAATGTGTTGAGCAGGTTGAGATCTTCACAATGATTTTTACGTAAAGCCACGAGAGAGGCTGGAGTGGTAACAGGTATTTTTCTAGTGCTCTGTATGTGGTTGTGCACCTCCACCCGTAATGGGACCTCTAACTGTCTTTGCAGCTACGATGGAGTGCCATTTCTGATGCACGACAAGACACTCAGGAGAACAACAAACGTGGAGGAAGTGTTCCCAGAGCGGGCCTATGAGCACTCCTCCATGTTCAACTGGACTGACCTAGAAAAGCTCAATGCTGGAGAGTGGTTCCTACGGGTGCGTATGGCCACGGGGAAGGATGTCCTGGAGCCATGGCCATGGGATGAAAACTCATCCCTAAACCCTCTTTGAGGTCGAGAGGTGTAGATCCGTCTCCTTGGTGGAGTGGTCTGAAGTGCTAGACCAAGAATCCATGAGCTACATTTGGTTCTGTCCTCTACTAAACTTAGTCTAAAAGACATGTTGTCTTTCTGTGCCTCTTCTACCACCTGGAATAAGGGGTCTTAATGCCTGGGTGACACCACAAAGATCTTCAAGACCACTAGGAGGCTGAGCATGGTTATAAATAAGAAGTTGTCTTTTCTGTTCTATATGCTGTTATTTAACTTACTTTTGGAGGCATTTGCCTTTACAAAGAAAAAGCAAGAAATTCAGCCTTTGAGGTCTGAGGCGGATGGGCTTGACCCATCCTTTGGCGTGCAGCCAGGTTGCAGGGATTTCTTTTTGCCTGAAACCACTGTAGCTTCACTGCTGTTCTGAGCTGGTGTGGTGGGGGTGTCTGTGTACTACAGCTGCATGTGCTGCTGCACAGAAACTTACCTGGCTCGCAGATGTGGGAGTGGGAATAAACAAAACTGCTGCTTGCTAGGCAAGAAGGGCCAAGACAGCAGCTGGAAAGCTGCTTTTTGGGGTGGACTTTGAAGCAGTGATTCCTTAATGTCCTTAAGTCAGGAGGCCACCTCTTCCAATAGCCTGTAGCTCCTCTCTGATCACTTAGTTATATAATAGCTGGTCCTTTTTATTTTTCGATCCTGAAGAATCCTTAGTGATTATGTATATAGTGTGAGAAAAAGTGTATTTTTAGCTTACTGCCTTGGAAAACAACATTACTGCCCTATAGCTCTTGTGTCCTCCCAGAAATGAGGTGACCTGCGTAGCACACCTCAGTAAGGATCTGTGACATCCCCTTGGGAAGGGAAACTGAGGCACAGAGCTTCAGCAAAGTACAAGATGGCCATCAAGGATAGCTGTCAGCATCCCCCACTGTTGGCAAGGTGGGATAGAAAAGGGTCTTCACCTGTATTGGAAGAGTTTGGGCTTTGTGGCACTAACACCAGGATCTGCTTTGCTTTTAGAACGACCCTTTCTGGACAACTGGGTCTCTCTCAAGGTCTGACTACTTGGAAGCTGCCAACCAGTCAATCTGCAGGCTGGCAGATATGCTAGAGGTGATCAAGGACAACACATCGCTCATCCTGAACTTCCAGGATCTGCCACTAGCTCATCCCTACTACAGCACTTACATCAACATCACCCTGGAAACCATCCTGGCATCAGGAATTCGGCAACAGGCTGTGAGTTTTGTGGGGTTGGTGATGTTTCCAAAATTTCCCTCCTTATGGGTTGCCTGAATCCTTAGGTGTCTCATTTGATCCATTTGAACACTTGATTTGAAATGCCACTTTTTGACAAAAAGTCGTGCTGGGGAGGACTGTGCCTCCAAGCTGGTGGTCCCAGAGTCTTGATAGAGTCTTGGAGTGTACTCATGGCAGTATAGTTAGTAGATGGAGGAAAGTGATTATTCTCGTTACTCAACAATCATGTGTTCAGTGTGGGGCTCACCAGTTCAAGGCAGATGTTGATAAACTGGGGCAAGTCCTGTAGAGGCCACCAAACTGGTCAGGGGGCTGAACATATGAGGGGCTGAGGGAATTGAGTCCCTTCGTCCTGGAAAAGGAAAAACTTCAGAGAGACCTAACAGCAGCTCTCCAGTACTGGCAAGGAGGTTGTTGGTAAGTTGGACCAAAGCTCTTCACTGAGCTGTATGTCAGGAAGATGGGAGACAGTGGTCACAAATTAAAACAGGAGAGGTTCCAGCTGGATATATTAAACCAATTTTCTCCATGAGGGGCAGGTAAAAGTTGAGATGACCCCAGAGAGACTGAGGAATCTCCATCCTTGCAACTGGACAAAGCCCTGAGTGACCTGGTCTTGAAATCACTGCTGGCCCTGGTTTGTGTTGGAGATGTCCTGAGGTCCTTTCCCACCGAGTGATTTGATAAGAGGCTCAGACATGAGAGAAGAGCCTGAGACCTGAGCAGCAAAGAGCCCTCATCTTCCTCTGACTCCTTGGTTTTAATCCTCCCTGGGCTGAGCAACTGTTTCAGCCTAGAGTCAGCCTCTGCTTGGAGGAGAAATGGGTGTCCTGGAGCTGAGAGGTTTTCAGCAAAAGGATGTTTATGCACCTGCAAAGATCTCTTCCAGACTTTCATTTCTGCCCCAGAATTGCCCTTGCTGGGTTACGCCAAACATTTTAATTCCCAGCTCTGAGCTGTTGCACTCCAGCCAGCCTTGTTAGCTGTGTCCTCTCTGACCACAGGTCTTCTCCCAGCCCATCAGGAGGTCCCTCTGATTCAATGATCTCTCCACCACTTCCTATGTGTCAGAAGGGCACCCAGACCTGGGGATGCTGGGTTTCCCTTGGAGAACTTCTCTTGACCTGTCTTGGGAAGGAAATCTGGTCCTTCCACTTGTCCTGTGCTGTCCCTTGAATACGGACTGGTTGAAAATAGCACGGAGAGGCTGGCAAGTGGAATGACTACATCATTTTACAGCTCAGATGCTTCATCTGTAGCAATTAGGTGCATCTGCACGCATGGACAAGTTCAGCACGGACTTGTGCAGTGATGGCCCCAGGAGGGAACAGAGCTATTTTGAACTTCCATCTGTCTAATGAATGACACCCAATTTTCAATTAACTGTGTGGCTGCAGTGACAGCGTTATTCATGAGCCTCTGCCAGCTTGGCTAGGTTGAAAGGAGGACTATGCTGTCTTCTCCTTGGATGCTGGGATGGAGAGCAGGAGAAAAATGGTCAAAAACATAGATGTGGGGCTGTGAAGTGGTATTATTCAGGCAGGTTTTATGGTTCCCTATTGAAAATGCATGTGGCTGCATTGGTAGATGAGTGCCACTGAGTCACTAAACATGGGTTAAAGCCCAGTGGTACTCCCGAGATCATCGGGTTGGGCCCAGCTTCTGCATGGCACAAGCCATAAAACTGCCCAGCTTGGTTTCTCCATCCACTTTACGTCTGGCAGCTGAGCGTGTTTAAGTAACTCACTTTCAGAGTGTGGTATGAACTTAGGAAAATCCTTGCCCTGGGTTGGAGGAGATGTAGCCCTGATAAGAGGCTTCTCTTGTAGGACCTGTCTGCTCTGTTGATTTTAGCTTTGTATCCTTAGTTCTCTCTGTGCTCTGAACTGGGCAGAGAGGAGAGGTTTTCAAGGATACACCATATCTCTTCTCACAAGACATAACCCTTTATCTCAACCCTTTTCACCTCTGAGGTTGTGTGCGTTACATCCCTCTGGGCTCGTAGACAATCCTGAAATGCCTTTGAGTAGAGATGTGGGAGGCTGTAAGTGTCTCGTAGACAATTTGTATGATAAACGAGGGAGTCTCTCATGTGATTTTGCTTCTGGCTTGGTGTAAACTGTCCGTGAACCACCTTTGCCATAGTTGCTCTCTGTCTCGCTCCCTTTGCAGGTGATGTGGCTGCCGGACACCGAGAGGCAGCTGGTGAGACAGATCGCGCCAGGTTTCCAGCAGACTTCTGGCCTCAAGCTGGACGCAGAGCACCTGAAAGAGAGAGGCGTCGTGAAGCTCAACCTGCGTTACACCAAGGTCACAAACGAGGATGTCAGGTACAGCCTTCTGTTGGACACCGCGTGATAGCCCGTGTGCTCCGGTGTCCACAGCTCTGTGCATCCTTGGCCCAACAGCATCTTTTCTGATCATCCCAAACTGTCTTATCTGTACAGAGGTGTCATTTCAGATGGATGCTTTTGAAAGCTTGAGCTTTGCAAGGCTTGTCCCTACCTGTCAACCAGAATCCAGGCTGTTCCCAGGAGCTGACTCTAACTCTACATGCTAATTCAGTATATGAAGGTGCTTTTTGAAATACAGATTAGGAATTGTCTGATTCTTATTACACTGTCAACTCTGGAAAAATATAAGGTTTTTCACACAGAGTACCTCCAAGTGCTGTTTCAGCAGTTGCCCTTTGCTTCTGTTCATCTGCTTCAAAGTTGCTACCGCAGAATTTTGATTAGTGCAAAGTCGGGATATGCCTTCAGAAATTTCTCTTTACGGAAAATTCACCTGTTTCATTACTGTCCTTTGCCAGCCCCTTCTCAGAAAGGGCAGATTGTCTCTAGCAGAGCTTTTCTCTTTTTTAGAGTTCGAATTTTTTTCCCCAAATAAATACTTGGAAATGAAACAGGTTTGAGGAAAAAAAGTATCTTCAAAGGATTTGTCTTGCTGTATATTTGAGCTTGGGAGTAGGGAAGAGCTGAGCCTGCAGCTGTTTGAGAGAATGATCCTATTTAGTGTAACCCAGTGATGTCTTTCCATAGCTGCCAGGAGTTGGTCTAGTTGCTCACCCTTAAAGTCTATGTTTTACTTGCAGGATAATTCCTGCCTGTTTTTCCCCTACCTATTTGCTCTGTCTCATGGAGAGGACCACATGCCAACTCATCAACCCCAGTCTCTCCTCAGCCCCACTTACAGCTGTCTCCAAAATCAAACCTGACACCCGCCTATTTCTTGAACCCTGAAGGTCTTGTGGTGCCCACTCAAACCTTGCTGCAGTCCTGCAGCATGAGCCAGAGGCTTAAACCAGGCTCACCAAGCCCTGGCTTTACACAGTTCTCTCTAATCTTGCTGTAATCACCTCTGCCCTTGAGAATCCTTTAGCTTTTGGAGCAGCTTGATCATGTTATGAGCTTCGAGTTGTCTACATCTGGTACAGCAGCCTTCCACCTCAAAGTGCTTTGCAGATATGAAATTGCAAGGATTAATCTCCGTGCTGGAGATTAGTGATGCTTCTGCTTCGTAGATAAGGGAACAGAGCAATTTATGCAAATTGTACGGGTACAGGGAGCCCACTATCAGTGCTTGGTTTGCGTCTGGCAGCTCTTCTACCCCAGCTTGTGGTTGTAGCTGCTTGGAAAATGACCTCAAGAGACTGGAAGCTGTAACCCTGTCCCCAAACCAAGGGTATGATGTTGGAAATGCAGTCTGTCAGTTTTTAATTAGGTAAATTGCCTGTGAAATGCTGCAGGCATCTGAGCCAGATGTTAATTTTACATCAACGTGATGAGGCAGTTGTTACAAAAATGTGCTGTGTCTGTCACTCAGGAGGAAGTATCTGAGATGGTTTGTGGCCTGGGTCAGATAGCATCCAAGAGGTGAAGAGAGCTTTCAAGTTCAAACCATTTGATTGCAGTACCCTTGGGTTGCTTATGAAGTGACTATGCCCTGTTAGAAAAAGTCTTTTGTGCAGTTCAAACCCAATAAATCTATCCGTGATTACAGCGGTGGCTGATGGCAGGAGCTCTCCTCTTGGAGATGAAGGTCTGATGTTTGCTGGGGGATTCACGTCTCACCCCGTCTGTCTCCTGGCAGGGACTACGCCATGGCGAACCTGAGCGTGAATCTCTACACTGTGAACGAGCCCTGGCTATACTCCATCCTGTGGTGCGCCGGCGTACAGTCGGTCACCTCCGACAGCTCCCACATCCTTCGCAAGGTGCCTTTTCCCATCTGGCTAATGGTAAGCACGATGCCTGGGTGGGTGCTGTGAACCCCTAAAAGGAGGGGATGCGGTGGAGGGGTGTAGAGGTGGCCATTGATTGTTGCAGCCATAGGTCTAGTGGGTTTCTCCAGGAAGGTGTGGTTGGGTTCAACATGCTGTTGGGCTTGAGGGTTTCCCCCCTCTGTATGCCTGAGCCCTGAGATGGTAATGGATCGATGTTCCTCTTGCACAATCATAGAATCACAGAATGGTTTGGGTTGGAAGGGACCTTAAAGATCATCGAGTTCCAACCCCCTGCCATGGCAGGGACACCTCCCACTAGCCCAGGTTGCCCAAAGCCTCATCCAGCCTGGCCTTGAACCCCTCCAGGGATGGCCTTGTCTCTCCCCATGTAGGGTTTGGGAGCCTTGGAGGTTGCGTTGCATGCTCCATTTAATCCACATGATTTTTTCCATTTCCTTCCAATGGAAAAACTTTTCCAGACCTGGTGAGCAGCTGTTAGAGTTGCAGGAGAAGTAGGCATGCGGGTGAACCAGCAGACTTGGATTCTGTGTTTCAGGCAGGCTTCAAAACTAGCTTTCTTTTTTCCTCTTTTTAACACCAAATGAGGACAAGCATTACTTCTGGCTTACCCCATTGCTGGACAAGAAGGAACCAGAGACCAAAGGTAGCCTCCTTACCCATCATGTTAGACAATAAACTCTCTGAAAATTCCCGAACAAAACAAATTTTGTGTTGGAGTGGAGGGAAAACAATGAAATAGTTGCATCGAAGCATTCCCAAAACAATGGGAGCTCAGCTATGCATGTGATGGACGGGCTATTTTCTGATGACAGATCCCATCAGAGGCAGGATGGGAGGCAGTTGTTTTACCTGCTGCTTTGGCAGGTCTGCTTGGGAAAGGGAAGAATAAAATTGGAGAATTTAAGTTGAATGAGTTATCTGCATCTTTAGCTGGAGGTAGGACCTCTAGACTACTGCTGGGAGAACATCTATATACAACGTCCTTAGTCTTAGCTTAACCCATAGCTTGTGTCTCACTCCACAAATTCACACTGGTGTGAGCAGAAGCTGGAGAACTGGAAATGGTTTTATAGAGTGAATCTGTTGGCAGAAGATCGTTGTCTGAATTGTGCTGCTGTAAACATCTGTCCTCCACTACAGCTGGCAGGAGGTGTGTGCATGTTGCTGGGAGCTTTTTACTCCAAAAGCCTCTTTGCCAGTGATGGAAAGCAGATGATACTTGGAGCCCTCCTCCAAGGGCTCTCCCATCTGCTGGATTTCCAACTCGGACGCGAGTGCATCCTTTGATCCCTTGATTTCCTGCAAATTGAAGTTCCTGGGGGGTGTAGTCTAACCAGCTTTGCCATCTGAGCCTCCTCCACCACGTGGGACATGGCTAGGTGGCTGGAGTGAGATGATGGGGTTCAAGGCCAGGCTGGATGAAGCTTTGGGCAACCTGGGCTAGTGGGAGGTGTCCCTGCCCATGGCAGGTTGTGGAACTGGATGGGCTTTAAGGTCCCTTCCAACCCAACCCCTTCTGTGACTCTATGAAAATGGACCCTCCGTGTCTCATGTGCAATGTGTATATATTTCTGTGTTTTCCCACAAACTTGGATTTCCAAACAGCATCGTAACCTCACCTTGAGGTATAACTGAGACAGGAAACTTTCAGTCCACAAAGCTCTGAGAAAATGTCAGCACCTGAAAGGAGGGAAAGTTTAAAATTGTTCCTGCTCATGGTTTTTCTGTAGTTTTGGGTGACAGGTTAGCATTAGAAATGTCAAAAACGTTGTGATTTACATGCGTCCCCTGCAGCTCTCTGCTTTTCCTTCTGCTCTGTTGGTAACTTTAGCAATGTGTGGTCTCTCTGTGACTGTACAAAACTGAAGGTTTAAGTTCTGCTTCTGTTTTGTTTTTTTTTCTTTTTTGTCTTCCAGCCTCCAGACGAGTACCGCCTAATCTGGATCACGTCTGATCTCATTTCATTTATTGTAATTGTAGGAGTTTTTATATTCCAGAAGTAAGTGGCATTGTTACAGCTCGACTCTCATGTGCCTGTGGTGTGTTTTTTTTTTTGTTCAGAGCATGGGGTGGGGATGGGAGAGAGGAGCACTGTGCTCCTCAGGAGCTTGGATTGCAATAGCAGGGAAACTTTTTATTAAAAATCCCTACGAAGACCGCAAACAATAATTCCACTGCTGAGATGTGACATTGAATTGGAGGTCATCGCTACTTTTTAAGAAGAATGAGAGATATCAAAACAGTAGTGATAGACACCTTGCTCCGCTCAAAAATGTGTGTGGAAGAGAAACTGTAAATGTTTTAGGGAAATGGACACTGAGAAAGAGATTAAAATGCTTTAAAGGGAAAAAGAGATGGTTTGAGATCCCACCATTACAGTCTTCAAAAAGAAAACACTATAGTTAACTTAGTTTGTTCACGTTTGAATGAAGAACTTATGACTTAGCAAATCAAATCAGTTGCTTAGTTTGATGCTTAGAGAAATTTTCTCCATTTTTCCAAAGAAAAGGGAGAGCAAGGATTTGATAAGGGCACGGCAGAAGCCTCTCTGCTAGCCAGGGACACTGAAAAAAAAAAAATAAAGTGGAACATAAAATCTAGGAACAGAGCAAGTTAAGACACTGATAAATCAGGAGAAGGTTAAACAACTTCCTAGTGGTAGAGCTGGCCAAGCTACCCCTCCTCTTGATTATACTGGAGGAAACCACAGTGTCCTCCCATTGATGTGCCTTTTCTCCTAGGAGGCATTTTAGCTGTCAGTGGTGACAGTGTAATAACCCCCTCTGGGAAGAAGCGTGAGCTCAGAGAGAGATGCTCTCCCTCCAGCGAGAAGCAACAGCCTTCTCCTGGGAAAATGTGTCATTCTGAAATTGCATCCCCTCTTCCCCTGGCTCTATAATCTCATCTGCTTTGGCATGCACAAATGGCTGTCCTAGAGACATCAAGGGACCTACGCTTTCCTTCCTTTTGGATATCCAAAATGCCTTCACGTTAGGAGCAGCAATTTAATTTGATTCAGCCTCATCAACTTGTGATTTTGCTGTCGCCCTGCTCCACATCATCTGCTTGCGGCAATAACTTCTTTTCCTCTTGGTACATAATTACCTGGGTTTTTTGCCGTGTTACAGTAGGTTATTGCTCCTTCCAACACCCTCTATGGATTTTACTTCAGGCTACGTGTTTGGTCTGTTTATAATTGTGTCTAAATTAAGGACTTGCACAGTCCCACGCTGGTAGACCTGTGCCCCATGGGTCACCAGTTCCAGCATGGGATAATGGAGTGAGCAGCAGGTTCAAAACTCTTCTCTCAGATTAGATTTCCCACTGGTTAATGAAACCACTGACCAAGATGAGATTAAGAAGTCTTGTGAGCTGAATTGTGGCTGATTAAACCTTTCTTCCAGAAGGGCATTGTGGCTGTGTTGTCTGGATTTTTCCACCACTCTCTCAAATTCAGCAGTTGGGTTAATAAGAGATGTCCCTGCTCTTTCGACCCTCTATTTCTCTGTCAGATACAGAAATGACTGGGACTGACCTCTCTGAAGAATTTGAAGGCCAAGTTGATGAGATACCTGCAGTCTCTTGCATCATCTCCCAAAGTCAGTTTTAGAATACTTTGCTGAATCAGATCCAGGAGACCACAGCTGAAGAAATTAAACTGGTTCAACCTACCAAATGGGGAACTATAGGTCCCAGAGCAGAGTGAAATGATGCACAGTTGGAAAGAGGGAGAAGTTGCAGCTACGTGGACAGATGGAATTTCTTCCAGGTTGGAAGAGGTTTGGTGGAGTAGGGCAAGAGGAAGCAGGGTAAGGATGGAAACCATTTTTGCAAGATTTATCTTCCACCTTCAGTGAAAGTGTGATAGAGGTGAGAAGGGCTGGAAACTGCCACCAGCTTTCTCCAGGGCCCATCAACCTGTAGAAAGATGGAAGACGTAGCTGTACAGAAACCTGTAGATGTAGAAAGGCAGTTGCTCAGAGAAGTCTGGCCATGTGGGGTCCATTGTAGCAGGGCCAAATGTCCTTGTTGTCCTGGGGGACAACTCAACCCCAAGTCGGTAGAAGAAAGGAGGAGAAGTCTAGCACTAGAAGTTGGACTTTCTGCAACAAAGGGCTTGCTCTTCCAAGAGCCTTGTGCTGGAGAGACCCATTTCCCTGCCGTTCCAGTTTCTCTACCACATGAAAGAATTGGTAGCAGTGTTGAGAATATGTCAGAAACAAATCGCAGCTACTACCTGCTGATGTGATTCAGCTCCAGGAAATGCCCCATCCCTGGAGGGGTTCAAGGCCAGGCTGGATGAGGCTTTGGGCAACCTGGGCTGGTGGGAGGTGTCCCTGCCCATGGCAGGGGGGTTGGACTAGATGATCTTTAAGGTCCCTTCCAACCCAAACCATTCTATGAAATGGGGCTGGGCATTTGACCTTCAGTGTCGTGGTGGTTGTTTTGTTTTTCTTTCCAAGTCCTTTTTGGGGCAAAACAAAGCTGCTTCCTTCATGCAAGGACGAGGGGGTGGGTGGGAACAGAGCCACCGCTTCGATGTGCTCGTCCTCTCTCCTACGCATGGCTTGTCTCTCCTCCATAGCCGCGGGTAGGGATTGCTCCTGCTCTTCTGCTTCAGCCCCGGTGACAGGATTGTGGCAGCATCTCTGGAGGGGAAATACCAACTGTGATGACTTCTAATGATCTTTTTTTTTTTTTTGCCTCTTTGCCTTGTTTATTTTCTTACTGCTCTGACTGTTGTGCATGTTCCTCCTCTTTCTCTCTCTGCTGCATTCTGGCATCTCACAGCTATCACATGATCAGGTAATTCTGGTGCTTTCCTCCTCTTTCTCTTTTTCATTCAACCTTCCTTTCTCTCTTTCTTTTCCCCTCTCTGCTATGGCTTCACTGCAGATGGACAGGGCAGGACACAGTTTTTCACGATGCTTTCAAACATCTGGCTTCGTGGGGGGACCATAAAGGTTTGAACGCTGCATAGTCCATAGCCATGAGCACCATGGGAGCCTGATGCTGAAGCCGGTGGATGTTTTGAAGGCAATCTGACCTGTTACAATGATCCAAGCCCCTGCCTTTTCAAACAGCCCTATTCTGAGGCCCTGCAGTGTGTTGTAATTGGGAAATTCCCAGTGGATGTAAATGCTTTCTCTATGGAAACAATCCCATACAAAATATCTCCTTCCTTCCTGCACTTAGCAGAGTTTTTTGAGACCATCCTCTTCTAAAATGGCCAATTCTGTAGAAAATAATGTAACCTGTTCAGTTATATAGAGTATTGTTTCCCCAGCCCTGGGAATGAATTAATAAGGCTAATAGCTGTAAAGGTTTGGCTCATCAGTTGCTACACTCAGAGCTTGGGATTTTTCAGGTGTCTCTTCCCAGTTACACCACTATGAAAATGGAAACGCAGCGTGAAAATAAATAGCATTGCACCCAGGAAAGGAATGAGCCTGGGGTGCTGGATTTGAAGTGCCCTTCAACTGGAAACCCAGATTTTTCCTTGTATTGGCTGTCTTCTCACCAGTCACTCTCCTCCCCTTGGAGGGAAGCGCTGTCGCTTTTCTGCAGTAAAGCCTTCACCGCGTCCGTACTCGGACCAAACTCTTCACGTGTTACCTTCTCCATTCTTTCCGCTGTGTGCCATGGGGTTGTATTTCTGAGGACTTGGCTATTCCCTATCTGTGCTTATCTGCCCCCTCTCCCTCTGCCCACCCATCACCTTGGGGGTCAGGGTTGGCCACCTGCAAGCATTGCCTGCTCCATGGGGCACCTTGGACTTGTGGTGGTATGTCCTCGTGGCATCTCCCCAAAGCAGGACCTGGCTCTGGGGCTGGGCTGAGCCCTCTTATGGGTGCAGGGAGGTTGGGTGTTTTCCCTTTCTTGCCTCCCTCTTGCTCCCTAGCTTGTGGGTAAGGAGAAGACAGAGGCATGGAGGAGTTGAGTAGGGTTTAGACAAGAGGGGTTGCAGGATGGGGACTCTGGTTGTGGTTGGCTTGGCTCTTTGCTTGCTCCATCTTATCACCTCGGTACCAATGAACCCCATTTTTTTCCCCAACCTGCCCCTCTCCCATCTTCTTTCCCTGCCATTTAGCATCTCCCCTCCAACCCAAGGGTCCGCTCTTGGCCCTAACATGGTATATGCTGTCTCTGTGTTGTTGTCCCAGTATTTTTTAGTCTGTTCCCACCCCGTCTCCGTCTGGTCTGCTTTGATGCCAACCTCCCAGAATGAGACCTACCTGCTGTCTGTCTGGCCTTTTTGCACGCCGCTGTCCTAAACGTGGCCGATCACAACAGAGTCCAAAGGGGGTAGGAGAGGTGCTGTTTTCTATTAAACAAGCTTTCTGGAGACCTGAAGGCTACTGAGCAGGACAGAGTATTTCATATGGTGTTGGAGTTGCGTTGAGATTAAATGTACTGGTGGCTCTTCTAAGAGGGTATTTCAAAGTACCCCTGAAAAATGGGGTCACCCTCTCGTAGCTTATTCAATCAGAGCAATGCGCCCCACTGAGAGGACCCATTGTCCCCTTGTGCATATTTAACCACCCTGGGTCTAACCGCAGCTACCATGTAAGATGGGGAGCGGAGAGTGGGGGTCATTCCTCTTGGGAGGAGGAGAAAAGCCCTTGGTCCCTGCACACCTTTGGGGGTGGGATATTTGCACCTCAAAATAGTCCATGCCCTCCATGGGATGTCTAGGACCTATGGGCAAGAGGTCATCATGGGCAAGATGGCATTGAGGCTTTGAGCAACCTGGGCTAGTGGAAGGTGTCCCTGTCCATGGCAGGAGGGTTGGAACTCAACGATCTTTAAGGTCCTTTACAACTCTTCAACTATTCTATGACTTTTGGCCCTGCAACCCAGCCTTATGCTGAAAAACCTGATGATGTGGGCAAAGACTCATCATTGTAGCAGTATGTCTTGGTCCAGATTATAGTTTAAGGAGGATTGTGTGATATCCTTTCACTTGCAGCTATATTGACCTTAGTGGGATCTGCCCACATGGGACACTAAGGGCAAAAATATTCATCTTCCGGGTCAGAGTGGCTCAGCTTAGATGATGACAGAGGAAAAATTTTTTAAATTTCATGTCTTTAATTTTTTAATTACAAAAATAAAATTTAAATTTTTAAATTTTAATGTCTTTGTCTTGTGTTTCCTTTGTGTTGCTTCTGTCCATGTGTCTGAGTTGTGTTGTGTTGCCATCCCACCCCCTCTTTTCTCTGTACTAAAGCATCCGCCTTCACCCGTACCCCGGTCAGAGCCTGATGACATAGTGTCACCCACTGGGATTTGAGAAGGGAGTGGAAACCCTGTGAGATCAGCACCAGCTAGATTTTTCTGGCAAAATTGCAGAACCTATTCTGCAGATGTTGCTTTGTCAGGCTGATGCTGTGGATGCAGGCTGAAGAGGTGTGGGGCTCCTCAAATCCGCTGCTTCCTGGGGCTGGGGAAGGAGTTAAAAATTTAAGAGAAGGTGGTTGTCACTCTTACAAAAAAAAAAAATTATTGTGTGGGTGAGCCACTAGATGGTGCCAGAAGATCACAAACCACTCTCAATCCCTGCTGTTTCTCCATCAAATTATCCTTATGGCATCCCTGGCTCTGATGGGGAGAATGGTATTTCCATGAAAACCTTTGTGGTCAGGAGGCAGGACAAATCGATGGGGTGTGGGCTGTGAAAGCCTGGCCTAAACAACATCCGTTTGCAATGGGACCTTGGGTAAAGCTCCATTGTCTGAGCCCACCAAGCCCTGGTTGCCACCGTTGCAGCATCAGCTCACCTTTCACTCCTAATGCCAGCAGCTCTGCAGTTAAGGGTCTGCTACAGGGGTTCTTCCAGGCAGAAAAACAGCTCTAAAAGCAAAATCCCTCCTGAACTTGCTGCCATTGCTTATTACTAACATCAGTAATTTCCTTTACATGCATTCAAGTAGTGAGAATAGAAGCCTGGCTAATTTTAAGTTGAGACAAGTTCCCATCAGCTTGATGTTGTTCATGTGGTGGAAACTTTGGGTGAAGAATGAGTTTCATCAACGCTTAAAAAGGGTGGGGTTTGGGTAGAAGCCTTTAAGCAAAGACCTGACATTTGGGGAGGGAAGTGCTCTGGGAGAAATCACATTCAGGGGGACCATATGTGACGGCCGCCTGTGTGGGTACTGTCTTTTAAGGTTTGAGACCTTATGAGCTCTTTTCTCTCACAAGGATGAGTATGTCACATAGTGAGGAAAAGGTTATGGTTTCTGTACTTGGCTTGGTCTCTTGTTCTGGTCCCTCTTTCCAACCCTAATAGCCCAAATGCCCTACATCCTTAGGGCAGCTGGGGAGCTGGTGTGATAGGAGTTTCTGCAGTCCTTGGCGAAACTAGTGGGATTAGGATTCTCAAGGTGGTTGAAGATGATCTGCTTGTATGTCCCTACCCCTCTGAGATAATGTGCTCATCTCTGAACATCGTCCTACCATGTGGGGTTGCGTAGGCACAAGGGAGTGAAGGCGTGAGGGTCTCTGGGACTTCTTGGTCTCCACATTGTTGGTGGCCACTTGCATTGAGCATGCTCCTGTGGTTGGTGAGACGAGCCCCCTGATATCCCCCTCTTGTCTTGCAGGTGGCGCCTAGGAAATATCAGGACCTACAACCCGGAGCAGATCATGCTCAGCGCTGCCGTCCGCCGGTCTAGCCGGGATGTCAAGATCATGAAGGAGAAGCTGATCTTCTCGGGTATGGATGGGGCTGGTCGGTCAAAGCCCTTTGCTCCATCCCTCAGCCGTCACCCTGGTTTCTGCTGATGGAGGAGGTGCCCTTGATATGGGTGCTATCATCTGCTGGTGGGACAGGGTGGCTGGACTGACCCTGCTGCACTGAACCACTTGTGGGATATGGTCATGGCTCATCCATCCCAAACTGGTGAATGTCTGAGCATTGATATGCTGGGAAATCCTGTGTCTACCTTCCCAAGTTGTGCCATGCAGCTCTCATACACTTCTCCATATCTTCTCCATTCTGAATTGTCAACAGCATGTCAAAAGCTATAAAACCCATTAAAATAATGACATAGGTCACCACAAATAGTGGTGATGGGTTTGGGGTACACCTGGAATTCAGTAGCCCTGTGGATTGAGGGGTTCCTGATATCCTTGTGCTCTTCCTGGTGTTTATTTGTGTTGGAACATCTCACCCCACCTCTAAGAAAGATCTCAGAAATGGGTACAAAGAGGGAAACATTTAACTTTAAAAGACTAAAGTTAGTGCATGAAGCTGGAAAACTCAAAGGAAGGTGAATATAATCTCCCCTTGAGCTTTGTGATGAGTTTTCTTTCTTTGTATTTTGGGGTTAGAGACCTCCAGTAGGGATCAGGGTTTATTGTACTGGGCACGCACACAGCACAAAGACAATTCTTGCTTTAAAGAGCTCATTGTGTGAAATGGAGGCCTGATTCTGCCCTCCAGAGATGGTGAAAATCAGGTGTAAATCCAGGGAATCCAGAGAGGGAAAGCACTTGATCACAGCAGAACTAAGCCTCCCCAATCTGTCCTAGACATAAAATGTCCTAGACACAAAATATCCTTAGGGGTAGGGGATATATATTAAAGTTTTGTACCTCTGAAACAGATGTTCTTGCTTAGGGTGGATGTTTACAATTAAAACACTGGCAGTTGTGCATTTTTTTCCCAGTGAAAACAGTGCCTATAGAAGCCTCCCCTTTTCTAGAACAGCAATTTAAGTAGAGATGAAGTTTAGGTATTTTGCTCTTTTTTCCCCAAAGGGGACTAATTCAGCCTGTGGCATAGCATCCTGTATATAGGGGGTCCAGCTTTGTCTCTGGTGGTGGCAGGATTGTAGGGGTCTGAAATTTAGAGATGGGCTCCTATTCAGAGGCAGATCCTGTTCAAAACTGGTTTTAAATGGGTTCAGTGTTACTAAACCTGGGGTGAAATCCCTGTAGGATCAGATGGGTCCCCGGTGGTGGAGTTGCATGGCTGCTTAGTGCCTCAGTTTCCCCATCTGTGGCGGTCACCTGGGACTTGCACCCTTGTGACGATGTCTTCCTTCTTCTTTACCCTCCCTAGAGATCAACAGCGGCGTGGAGACCACGGATGAGCTGTCTCTCTGCTCCGAGAACGGCTATGCCAACGAGATGGTCACCCCCACGGATCATCGGGACACCAAGCTGCGGATGAACTGAGGGGCTCCAGTCCAACCCTGGTGTGTGGCTGCCCCCGTGTTTGCTCTGGCAGTGAGAGCCGTGCTCTCCTGCTTGCTGGGGGATGGGAACCTTTGAGGAACTGCTGATCGGGCAGAAGACCCCCTTCCCATACCCCATCACTGGCTGCTCCACCTCCCTGGTTGTGAGGCTGGGGAGCTTCTTTTTGTAAATATGTAGAAAATCAAATTTCTTTTGTCTCTTGGATATTTTTTTTTTGTGTGATTTTTTTTTTTCCAAGGCATGAGTGGAAATACCGTGTTCATTAAATTCTCAACCTTAGGGCCGAAGTTATTTGAATCTTGACCTGACAGCCTGAGTCTCCTTGGGGAGTTTTGGGGAAAGCACGTTGGACGTGTCACTCCTTTTCCCCCCTTGCCCTGCTCCACTCCTTCCCTTGGTGCAGCGACTGTGTAGCTGAACTCCGTACGTTGTGATGTTCTCGTGAAGTGTTGTTTTTGTTATTTTATTTTTTTTGTTTCCCTCCCCTTTCCTGGGCAATGAAGTTTGAGCTCTAATGTGAGAGGAGGCTGTCTGGAGGAGAGAAGCTTTCCTAGGAGGGGAGATCGCACTGCTCTTCCCCGCTGAAGTTCAGAGCCAGGGAAGGGGTTGCACTGGCTCAGTCACTTGGGCACCTTCTCCCTGTCCCATCCTCCTTCCCCAAAGCCTGGATGCTCACAGGGGAACGACCTTCTTGAAATTTTCTGCCACAGTCTTGAAGCCAAATCCTGAGTGTTGGCTGTAGATTGGTCTCTATGGCAGCAATGCTTTGATTTTGATTTTTTTTTCTTTTTTTTTTTCTTCTTTCTATCTTTTCCCTGAGTTGGGCTCTGTCGGGAGCCCAGATGGCTTGCAAAAAGTGATGCCATGGGCTCCATCACCGCTCAGATCTGGCTAAAGTGCCTGCCACTCCAAGTGGTATTTGCAGTCGCTCCTTTGCTTCCCTGTCCTTGCACCCATGTAGGAAGAGAAGGTGCTGGTGTGGTGTGAGCTTCCCCCGCTCCGGGCCAAAGAGCTGCCTGTAGGTGAAGGAGTTGTAAATAGTTTGGAAGGTGTAGCAACCCCGGAGTGTAATTTATTCCTGCAAGGAGACCTTTCCTCCTTGCTTTAAAAGCGTGATCTTTAAAGCTGCATGTTCGTGTCCTCCAAAGGAGCGATGGTCTTGCAGCAGATGCTGAAAAGCTCATGAAGGCAAGAGCTCTCATCAGCGTGATTCCAATGCAAAAGGCTTTAAACCAAAATCCTAGACCAGAGGTTAAAAGAAAAAAAAAACCAAAAAACCAAAACAAAACAAAAAACAAAACAAAACAAAACTTGGAAACCAAGTAGATGACAGTTGCATTTTATTCCCTCCCTGCAATGGCTCATGGCCAACCCAAGGGCAGTCTCAGCTCTCTGCTCTTGACCTTCAAGACCTCATGGAGAGGAGCCTGGTTTTGGGTCACTCTGCTGTTCACGTGAAGCCAGTTCCCAAGGCAGCTGAAGCCAGCAGGAAGGCTGTGAATGGGTCTTGGCTCAGTCCCCATGGCCTTCTGGTGTTGGGTTGCTCCCGTCTTTGCCGGATGTTGGTTGGTGCAATGTGAGAAATCCCATTGAGTGCGAGCTTCCTTTGAAGCGTAACATGCACTGCCTTGAAATGATGGGTCCATCAAAGATGTTTGTCATGGAAGGAGTGGGAACTGCGGCTTAGTCTTTGGGTGCTGGCCAAGCTGGGTTGTAGACTGGGAGGAGTCACCCTGCAGAGGAGAAGATGGTCTTGGATGATGCTGATGTGCATCACATTCAACACCCAAAGGCTTGAAAAAGCCAGAAGCAAGCCACGATAAAAACAGCCGCCAGAAGTTTGTTCTTGTTTCAGCAGCACTGAACCACTTTTTTTTTTTTTTTCTTTTTTAAAGCTGTACTCCAGGAGCATTTTGAAACCCCGAAGTCTTGGGCTTAGTGTGTAAGAATTGGGGGCAGAAGTGTCCAACAAACCGATGTAAGGGGAAAATACCCCTATTAATAACGAAAATGTGAATTGTGATGCTTTAATGAGCACCTCCTAAGTGGTGCAAATCAAGACTTCAATTCGTTTGCATCTACCTTGGGTTTTTATGAATGTAAGTGGAATAAGACCCTGGTCCCTCCTCTCTCTTACCTTCCCCTAATACTGTCCTTGTATATGGTACTCTCTCGAGTCTGTGAAACACAGTGGACAAACACAAACAAACTTGTGGAATTGCAAGATTTTGGTGGATTTGAAGGCTTTTGAGAAGAAAGTTGCTTCTCCCTTTAATGTGGTGCTGTATTGAAACATTCCTGGTGGATTGTCCTTGCCAAGTGAGAGATGTTGTTTAAATCTCAGCGTCTGTTGATAATCACCCGCATGTTCTGTTTTTATCCTTGAAGATGACTTTATTGGAAGGTCAAGTGCTTTAAAGCTTGGAGGTGTTGAAAGCAATCCAACAAAGACTTGTTTTCACAATTCAGTTTTTGCTTTTTTTTTTTAATGATGAGACCCAAACTTTATGCGTAATGCACTGACTGTTACCGTTATGGTCCTGAATATTTGCTACCTTTTTTTTAAAAGGATGATACTTTTTTGATGAAAATAGGCCTAGAACAAAAAAAAAAAAAAAAAAAAAAAACACAAAAAAACCACCAAACTCTGCAATGTTCTGTGAAATAAACTGTCAATATTCCCCTGCCAGTCTGTGATGTTGTCGTGTGTTCTGGGATCACTTGCAAGGTGATGATGCTGTGATCTTCTCCCTGTGTTTCTGCTTTTTCATCCTTCCTGAGGGAGCTAAAGGTCTGACCAGAGGGATGTTTGGAGATCCATCCTTCTTGAGATCGATACACATGTTTTTCATTTCCTCTTGATGACACCAAGCTGAGTGGTGCAGTTGGTGCACCTGAGGGATGGGATGGCATCCAGTGGGATCTGGATGAGATGGAGAAGTGGGCCCATAGGAATCTCAACAAAGGTTCAACAAAGCCAAGTGTAAGGTCCTGCATGTGGGTCGGGGCAACCCCAGCATCCATATAGGCTGTGGGGGATGAAGGCTCTGAGAGCAGCCCTGAGGAGAAGGACTGG